CACACACAGTGAAGCATCTACAACAGCATCAGGCAGTGGCAGTGCTGGGTCAATCTCTCAGAAAAAGGCAAAGCCAAGTGTGAGTGAGAATGATCGAGACAAGAGAGCACATGATACCAAACCAACAGGAGAGAGTCCAGACAAGAAGAAAATCAGGCCTCAAGCGACACAGGACCTCGGGCTCGGGCTTGGGGTGCTTTACTTTGGCCATGCTGCAAAAAAGTTTAGTTTTAACAGCTGTGCAAATTACCAAAAAGATCATTCAATCCACTTCTGCTCTTTGTTTGGAGCCTGCCTTCACGCAGGAGGATCTCAGCCGTGCAGCATCTCGATTGGATTTCCCATCGCCTCCACCTCCAGTGGAAAGGGTCAAGACTATGCCCAGTCTGGAGTTGCTCGATACACCATTGGAGACACCATCATCGGGGAGACCATCTACAACTAGCCCTCCAACTACCAACTCGGAGAACCAGGACCTCATATCCTGCTAATCAGGTTGTATAATTATGAAATAAAGATATCGTATACATATAGTACCACCTAATATCACCTAATATATTGGATTGTAACCCTCTTCTCTGTCAATCCCGCTCAACAGCCAACATTGCTGCACGCAGGACATCTCAGACCAACCTTCCAAGCCCATGCGCCCTGCAAAACAGGCCCGTGTGAAGATTCTCACCCCCGAGGAAAAGGCAGACTTGGAATCCATGGCTTCACCAAGTGGGATGCCACCTGATGAAAGGAAAAAACAGTACTCTGCAATGCGTAGGGCCATTGTCAAGACCTGTGAACCAGCACTTCTGGCCAAATTCCAGTTGGCAAGCGATGGGGAGAGGCCGATCATATGTTGCTGATCACCCTTTACATAGCGACCTGTTGTCTCTCCCGTGCATGACTGTTAGTTGTACTCCATCCCTCGTAACAGGTGGTCAATGCTCAAGCAGTGGCTGCTGAATGACGGCAAAACAGATTCCATTACGGTGGAGGAGAAATTCACCAAGTTTGTGGAGCAACTACGGACAGATCGGTACGTGACTGTAGCATGGCCTAAATTTTAAAAGCACAATATCTGCACACTGCAGTTCTTGGGGTTCTCATGTGTGTGTGCAATATTCGTGTGCGCAATGAATCCGAGACTTCCTTAGACTAGGTTACAAAGCTCCAACTTCAGAAAATGTACGGCAAGAGCAAGGAGAGCAAGGCTTTCATAGCCGAATTGATTAAAGGCTCCTAGCATGCAATATATGTTTTTTTCAACATAGTACGATGCAAACCTAGGGCCCCAAGATTCATCAATTGCTGAATACTCCACCAAGGCCAGGCAGGGACACCTCACCCGCAAGCACCCAACCTTGAGTCAGCGCGGATGTACAAGGTGCTGCGTGAGATCGCAGAGTGCACCAGCACCGGCTCTCGGAGTGACCATGCACTCTCGACAGGTGGTAGGGTGCGGGATGAGCAAATGAAAGCAATGATTTCGAAGCAGTTGGGTGTCGCTTTGGGTAACCTAGAAGAGCAAGGATTGGTGGACCTAAAGACAGGCCGTATTGCAGGGAAGAAAGCAAAGAAGCAAAAGACACCTGAACAACTAGCTCTAGGTGAAGTCAGAACACTTGGGAACAAGTTCCTTGATGAAATTAAACATGTATCGATCTTTGAACTTGCATGCATGTAACCGGTTCGAGTCGAATTGTTTCGATCCCAGGTTCAAGCGGTTGATCAATGACATTCCATCGTGCATCAACGAGATCACATCGCATGATGTCAGGAACTCTGAGGAGCTGGCCCCTTTGCTATATGTTAAACAGTGGCTGGGAAACTGAATGAAACTGTTGTATCGGAAACTCGATATTAGATTAGATAGTCGCGTGATATTTCATACTATTTCACTGTGGGAGGTCCGGGTTCTTCGTGGTCATGAACCAGATCTGGAGTCGCGTCACGTTGTGGTCTTGGAAAAGCTTGAGACACCAGTTTCAGCAATCGATGCTGATACGTTTATGGCGTTTGTTGAAGACCAGAAGCCTTTTTTGACCATGGTCGAAACAGACGTCCGTGATGCTAAGCGCCGAGTGGCAAATGCCAAAGGGCCCAAAAAGCGCCGCCAAGCAGCTTGAGTTGGTGTAAAAGTTCGGGGTTTCTTCGGAACACGGTCTTTAGTCTTAGACCGTGAGAAGAGCTTAAAGACTGGGATCGATGTCGCTGAGAAAAATCTTTGACCCATGCTTGCCCACCCATGACTTCACTGGTGTGCCTCATCGCACTTGGAGATGTGGGTTGCGTCCAGTGGCAGCTGCACGGGCAGCAAGAGTGATCGCAGGGGCCACTCAAGGGGAGTTGAGTGGGTTGTTTGTAGAGGGAATCACGAGCTCACATGATTGCACCTGGTACCTCTAGACCTGTTTCGATCCTTGTTTTATTTCCAGCTTGGATGCACTAAAGTCATGTATATACAGCTGGCATGCTACTTTAATTCACCCTTTAAGCTGTTGCGACTATGGACCTGGTCGAAGAGTTCTTGGAGCTTGGACGTCGGGTCTTTCGACTGCAGTTCAATCGACATGGGTGTGTCTATTATAATCATCAATCATTTGCAAAATGTCTCAGTCGACTCCCCGTATACTATGCCCCAGGTCAGTGTATCCACTCTGATGGGTTTGCTGTCGGTGATTCGGAGAAGGTTTCCCAGAAGACTTCTCCCGTAACTTGCCATATGTATTTCATGCTTGACCCAGTGCTCTTTTCAACCACATATCGATCGCAATTGTTTTTCATTTGAGGCCCAACTTGGTGGAACTCTTGAACATTAAGGCAACAAAGGATGACCGGAATGCACCTAGAAACTTCTGGAATTGGGTCAACAAGCAACCATGGAGAAGAATGTTGCCAAACCCAGTCGAGTGCTTCAGCTGTATAATCTCTCTGTCCATATATGCCAGTCTCAATTTCGAACTGTAAAGCCAGAGTGGTACTGAGGGTACAAGTGGTGCTTCAAGATGTTGCTGCAGAACAGCAACACTACATGGGTAGCTGGCATCTTTTCCTACCTTCTGAAGTGTCCTATGGCTTAAGTTTGTGAGCGCAACATGCTATGCTTTAATACATGTGCTATACATGGATCCTATATAGTGCGAGGTTTGCATCGATGTATCACTACAGCTTCGAATTGTTTCAGCAACGCTTTTTGGGAGAACCAGGGGTGACTTGGTCAAATTCATGTTGATTGCGCAAGCAGTGGCACTGGTATACTTATGCAGCAGCTGTCAGCTGTCATAATATCTTCACGCCTGACATTCCTCAGGCAATCGATCGGTTTTGGGAGCATATGAAAAGCACTAAGTTCTTCAGGCAACATCCGATCCTGTCGGATCCTGCGACATGTTTGCATGGGAGGACACAGCATGCATGCTAGCAAGTCCAGCTTGGAAGTCATGGCCACATCGGTGCATGCTCTGCATTCTAGGCGACAGATTTATCGAGATGCATCCCTTTGATTTGCCACGGCGATGATGCTGAATGTCATCGACGCAGGAGCTTCATGGTGACAAGCTTTGCCTCTTTAGTTGTTGGAAACTGTTCTCCGTTTGACAACCGCTATGTGACATACTGTGTTGACAACAACAGAGCTTGCCCAGAGACCTTAGACTGCTTAGACAGTTGGCTTGCTTGGAGCTATACTGAGCTCATGAATGGAAAGTGGGTGGAGCATGGGCCTTGGTCAGAGGCCCTCCCAAGCCGAAGCAGCAAAGGTGGCAAGCTCATTGCAGGTGGCTACCGGGGGATCCTGTGCGTCATGCGAGGGGACGAGAAATTTGTGCAGAAAGCCTTCCACATGCGAGTCTCTTGGGTGTCAGAGCAGGTTTGCTGGATGTGTTGTGCATCCAGAGTGCGGGATTCACTGAACCTATACACTTACTTTGGGCCAGGAGCAACACACCGACTGTCCCTCATAAGTTTGAGCGATTTCATTTCCGATATCAGCAAGGGCTGTGCGTGGATTCGGGTCCCTGGCTTCCAACCTGAAATGCTTTTCTATGACTTCTTGCATGTTTTCGACCTGACAATGGTCCCAGATGCAGCAGCAACAGCATTTTGGCTGGACCGTCATTTTGTTTTCTGCATGGGTGAGAATGGGAGACCTTTGCAACAGCATCCCTGGTTTGCAATGTTTTCTGCATTGGCCCCTGGCGCCTGAGGCATTAGTTGAGCTGTCTGAGGATGACTCTGTGTGGCCTGGTCAGTCAGTTGATGACCGTTTGCGCTATGCTCACGTGCAATTCGTGAAGTTGTGTCGTGAACAGAAAATCAGACTTTCAGCTGCTCTTAAATGTGGGGACTGAGAGTAGCATGTAGTTTGTTTGAGTGGTGCCAAGTACACTGAGAACTGCCTAAGGAAACAAGGGACAGGTGTTCAGCTTGCATCTTTTTGGCAATTTCAGTGAACTGTGCAAATGCATATGCCAAGAAGACATTGTTCTGACTGATGGTACCTGTGCACGACCTTTTTGAGACTTGAGGAAGCAATTGATTGCAAACAAAAAGTCGTTCCCCAGCTTGGCACAGAAACATTTCAATGGATCTGACTCTTAGCTTTTGCAAACATACGTGAATAGCTAGTGTGCTGATTTAGCATTGCAGCCTGGCTTTTCTCAGGAATCGGTGATTCTTGCCAGATGGCTGATGGGGATAACAGTTGCGATTGCTGTGAAGCGCCCGGATGATGAACATGCGCAGTGGCTCGACTCATCTGCAGCCTGTATGTTTGGATTGGCATGATAGTCTGCATGCTAGCTGTTTGAGTGATATTTTTAACCACGAGGCTGAGAGCAGCTGTCTTCATCAATGCTGTGGCTATCCGTCAAGCAGTTTCCTTGTCGCATGGTCCAATCCTGCCTCCGCATTGCATCAGAAAATTGCAAACTGCGAATTATTTGCTTCACAGTGCCATCAACTGCACCTTGGCCACTTGAAGGCTAGAAGTGGCTAGCAGCTGATTAAGCTTGGCAAGTGTGAGTGCATGCGCAATGATGGTTGCAGCTGATAGAGTTTTGGGAAACTGAGGGCTTGCCCAGGGGGCAATTGCAGCTGGTCACCTTCGGTGGAAGATTCGGCCAAAGCTTCACAAGTTTCTCGAATGGATGGATCGATACACTGGTAGGTCAAGTATAGAGTAAGGAGCATCTTTTTTAACAAGTGTGGGAAGGAGAGCACATCTTACAGTTGAGGCTTGACCACATCTGTTTAGACCAAGCGCCACTTTTATCACCACTTTGGACATCCACATATGGTGACGAAGACATGGTTCTTGGGTTGGCACTGGTGCAGTGCTGCTTGTGATGCATCGACGTGGGTTCATAAGCATAAACATGTCATGCGTCGAGCGCGCGTCTAAGGTAGGGAAGGTGAAGCAGTTTGCAATGATGGCAAAGCCACACTTACTGGGACGACAGGTCCTCCTGCGATACGCATCCTATGTGTGTTGCCGATGGCTCCGGCAGCTAGAAGGGCAAAAAGGTTGAAACCAGTTACATTCAGTATTCTGTGTCCAACAGTGTGTCAACCCTGCTCTCAGCGATGTCCCAAGCGGATACCGAGCCTTGTGGAGTTCATCGATGGCAAAGTCCAGCAAGAAGTGTTGGGAGTGGAAAGGTGGAAAGTGGAGCAGGGCTGGGTACCAAGTCACATGGTTTGACCACCTCCTCAACCCAAGTGCCCGCCCCAAGAACGCAAGTGACCACTTTATATCCTAAGTGACCACATTACATCCCAAGTGACCATTGCCAGCTTCTTCTAAGTGACCTTTTGTTTCATAGATGGCTTAAGTGACCTCTATAGATCATAAAACATCAAGAGGTCACTTTGAAGAAGCTGGTTTATAAACATATACATATATATATACATACATCTCTCTATATATATATATTATACATCCTACAGATCCTACATCATTCTACTACCCATAAAATATGACAACTAAGTAAAGTGTGTGTCGGCTCTGAGCAACTGAATCCCTCGACGGCCGCCCTGATATAGCGTGCCAGGGACCTGAGTGGGATGAAGACTCAGGTGAAAAGATGTGAGAAGACTCCGCAAAGCATTTTCTACTTCATCCTGATGCAAACAACCAGGATTTCAGAGAGTGCTTGAATCGTAGCCTTTTTCCCATGAGCAGTGGAAAAACGCATGAAACGATCGGCTCTTTTCAGCTCTGTCAATGTCCGAGCTGCATCATACTCTTGCTTCTTGTCCAGTGTCTTCGGCCTCCTCGGCAGCTTCCGCCCGCTGGGCGCCGTCACGGCAAAGCCGCCGAAGCCGCCGTCGTCCAGGGGGACGAGCGCCAGGGTGACGAGCAGCGTCCAAAGGCGACAGCGGTCCGAGCGGGGCGGGCCAGGGCGGACCATGGCGATCTGCGGTTCTCCCTACTCCAGCGGCCGGGGAGGAGGTCACGGCACTGTGTGAACCGGGTGCATGCTACACAGAGCTGTTTTTTTTCACCAAGACATGCTACAAATAGGTTTCGACATGTTTCGACCCATCCCACAATCTCACTTGCTGGAGGTGGTTCAGGGCAATCGTCCTTTCTTCTTGCGTCACACGTGTCAATGGACAGCTTCTTGATGGTCCACTCCAGCTGATTATCTTGCTATGTACAGGGAGGAGAGTGAGATAGAGCAGGAGACACAGTATTCCTACAGGTTCCTGAGCGAGAACAGTGCATTGTCACACTAGGAAGGGTACAGTATTTCTACATTGCCAACTCCTCGTGGTTGCCCATCATGCTTGCCCCTCTTTTACCTTCCCCCCACGAAAAGCGAAGCACATGAGTCTACTCGCCAGTCAAGGCGGGTATGATGGATTAAAGCTTAAAAGGAGTGCAACTGGGGCCACACTGGTAGTAGCATCGCTTGTCTCCTTGGGACCCAAGTTGGCACAAGTCAGCACGCCGCGGATGGCTGGGATTTCGACATGACGATTGCCAATATAGGTTGAGTTGAGTGATGGCGAGTGTTACTTACTTATGGGACTTATGGGATGAGGATGCAACAGTACGCGCTGCATGCAGGCTCCATATGTATGTGTCCAGGGTGCGTTGGGCGTGGCAGTGTTCTTGAGCCTAAATGACAACCGAGCCTAGAAAACAAACATCCCCACACCCTTCGCATGAGCGGCTACTTCCGCTTCCGAGATGCTGTCCACAACTGTTTGTTGAAAGACTTCCAGCTTCGTGGGAACAATGAAATCCACAACAAACATATGATAATATATGATACTTAATCAATCAGTCTAGCGCAAGGCTGCATGGTTCCAATATATGTTCCAATACCATCTTGGGTCATAGTTATTGTACCTATGACTCGCCGCTCCTTCCTGCCAGGAACCCACTTCAAACCAGAACCAACCCAATATCTAGTATATAGATGTAAATAGCAGGTTTTACTATGATCACTGAGAGTGATTTTGAATAGAATCCTATCCTGACCAGTGATGTTACCAACATATACCAACTGAGACTCACCCACCTAAACACCTAAACTGTCCTAGTCAAGGTGGTATTCCTCCTGCTTGATGGATGTTAATGGAATATATGTGGCCTGTGAAAAAAAAAGAACTGTCCTGGAGGCCCTGCTACGATTCTCTTAAGGTCTTTCGTCTTTGGCACTTTTGGTGGTGTAATAAACGTGATGACTTCCCGGAAATGCAGATAGAGACCCAAACCCTACGACCAAACCTCTTCAGGTTCTCTGCTGGTTCATGGTGGCTTTTCCGGGGTCCCACGACAACGGATCACCCAACTCAGCGAATTGGCCCTCCGGGCAAAAAACTGTCTGGATATAGCCTAGACCCCATATCACCTTCACCCAAACAAACTTCTCAGACAAGAACGACGAATGAGGTGTGGAGCCTCATCTTCCGCATGGATCTGTGTCCATTCCATGTCCTTCAGTCCAGTTCCACGCCTGGTGGCCCCTCTGAAGCACCGGCATCGTTGTCCTGGTGCAGCTCAAAGGCCTCGACGACGCGAGTTAGCGGCATTTTTCGGCGACGTGAGGTTGGGAGAAAGGCAGCCTTGGTTGAATGGATGTCTTGGGAGGGACATAGATGTTCCAATACAAGAACATATTGATGTCTCAATCTGGACTGGACATGACAGGACAAATGTTGTCTTTGGGGAGATCTGTGTGGATGTCAAAAAATCCTGAGAGAGGGAGAGCGAGAGAGAGAGAGAGAGAGAGAAAGAGATAGAGAATTAATTAACACAAAAAAACAAGAAAACCTGAGGATGGAGGCGGGCATGTCTTGTTGGTTAATTAGTTTTCCTGGAGGCTTGAAAGGGCATGACAAGTACAGCCAAATGAATTAAGCATCTTAAAAACACATGACAAACATGTCCAAAGGTTTTGTATGCAAGTGTAAACAAAAAAACTACTGGCACAAATAATCACGGCAGCAACCAGAAGTGAGACAGCAAATAAACAAAGAACAACATGCGTGACAAAAACGCGAAAGCGCACGGATATATATATATATATATATGAGCGGCGATCTAAACCTCTTACATGTGGTAGTGGACATTGGAAGCAGGGTATCGCTTTTTGTTCCCGACCCTATCGTTCTTGAAGGTTTCCGATCATTTTGTGAATCAGCACAACCAACATGCAAATATAGCTACGCACTCACAAGGGCAACTGCTTCTTTTTTCGCGGTGTCAGAGTTTGATGAACTGGACGAAGAAGATGAGGAGCTGGAGGAAACCAGCCCTGCCCTTCGCAACTTCGCTGCAAAGGCTTCTCTTTGTGCCTTGCTGCGTTCTCTCCGTCTGTTAACACGCTGCTGCAATTTCTGCAATTCTTCCTCAAAGTCAACTCCAGAGCCATGCTTTCGAGTCTTGCCTTCAGGCAAATATGCTTGCTGGTACTCTTGCTTCCTGGACAATCCAGTGTTCTCATGTCTTCCTAGGGGCTGAGGGTTTGTCATCCAAGTCTCCTTACCAGAGCCCCAGAAACCGCGGCGCCAGCTTGCTGGCAGCCCGCAATCCTCGATATTGAAATCATCAATTTCTGTCAGGGCGCTTGTAGACAGAACTAACACCGAGAAAAAGTCAGCAGCAAGCAAGTGCACTTTTTCACGACAGGGTGGATGGTTTCTCCCTATCCTGCCGCCTGTGATGGAGGGCGCCTCCACCACAGGATACCCCTAACTCAGTCAGGATGTCCACCTATCGAAGAATTTCTTCGATCTCTTCTTGGACTGCCCAACCACTGCTTTCATCTTCTTCTTGTTCTCCTTGTGCTCCATTGAACAACACTTCACTGCTTTCGAGGAGGTCGCCCATGACATACCACGTCAACTACTTCTCCGCAATGAGCTCTCGCCTCTGAAGATCAAATGCACTGTAGTCCTCATTTGTCAAGGCATCTGCAAGAACATTCCCATCTCTGCTCACCCAGGTCAATGTGGCAAAGGTATCAAGTCTCCTCAACGTCTCAGCCACCTCAATCACCAAGAGCGTGATGGGATACTTTGTCGACAAACCCTTCTTGAGAATGAAGGCATTCCCCCTGTTGTCTGTGAAGGCTTCCGCGAGGACCTCTGCTGTACCTCCTGCCCCCTTCAGCCACAACTTCAAGGCGACCAGGGTGGCCAGAAGTTCCAATGCAGCAATAACCCTCTTCGGGTCCCGGCCTCTGTAATATAGCGATGGGGCGCTGACTTCTGTAACCTTCAGGGAAAACCACCTGCACTCAAAGCTGTTGGCACTCTCCTCAAGCCATCCTCCTATCCATGCCTCTTCCTCCGTGGCCTTTGCATCGGTCCAGATCTTCAAGGGAGCTTTTCCCGTGCACCGGCCTCTTCACCGGTTCCAGTCTTCCGCCAGACCTCAACCTCTTTGCAATCCAGCTCAAAATGAATTGCACAGACCACGGGATCGTCAGGGTCCCCTTGTTGGACTGAATTGCCGCGGACCAAGCATACAAAGGGGCCAGTAGAGGTTTTTCCCATGGCAAAGCCAACGCAGTGAAGCCCAGCGGCCCTAGGCCCGCTGAAAATTCTCTGGCACTGACCTCCTTCCTCAGCCTTAGTGAACCTACCCAATCAATGATCCAACCTGCTCTCCTCTGCGAAAGGCCCATGGAGTACGTAGGTCTTGTAATCTGTTGTAAGGCCTATCCACTCCGTGACCAGGCCACCTCTCTGCTTCGACCACTTGAAGGGGGCCCCCAGTGCAGCCATCAGCGCAAAAGCCAAGACGCCACCTATCCTCCCTGTTCTGCCGGGCCTTTGCAAAATCTCCCACCAAAGACAACACTGCCAAGTGCTCCTCCTCATACTCCTCCAGCAGCGCCCGCTTCTCTCTCGGTCCAGGCATGCGCACTTTGTCCCTGCATGTGGTTCACCATGACTCCATGCGTCCCATCATGAATGACCCGCTTCTTGCCAGTGAGCTCATCCTCAACCAAGACTGCAAGAGCAGCAACTGCCCGGTTGTCACCGAAGCGGCGAACAAACTCCTCCTCAGTCATCTTGACCATGAGCCCTTCTGCAACCTCTTGTTCAAGGTGTTTGACCAGATACTTCTCACGCTCTTCAGCCGACAGGTAGTTGCTCTTCTGCCAAACTGCCTCGCCCCAATCTTCACCTTCCAAGTTCCACCTGCACTGCTCCTCAAAGATGTCAGGTGTACGAGGCAGCTCCTGCAACACTCCCAACGGAAGCCCGGACTTCGCCTGTTCAAGGAACCTCCAATCTGGATCCCACTTCGCAAGCACACCTCTCAGGAGGTCCAAAAAGAAAGGTTGCCCAGGCTCTGGCTCTCTCTGATCCGCAATGCTAAGCCTCTCACTCAGCACCACCCTGATCCTCCTCAAGAATGTCACCCCCTCTCGCCATCTTGAAGGCCTCTTTCTCCACAGCTGCGACACTGCCCATCACCTTGACAGCCTCCAAGAGCACCTGGTGTCCAAGCGCCGACCAACCCTCACTCCTCCATCATGGAATGAAGCTTCCAGACCCTTCCACGCACGATCGTGGGGGGCCTTCTCCTCCCGGAAAAGGCGGATTCATCGGGTCCACCTCACACTTTGCAGCATCCTCCAAATGCCTCCTCTGCAACTTCCCTGAAGTGCCAACCTCCTCCTCTGCCTTTCTCTTCTCGCTGACCTCTTCCAAAAACTCACCCTCCCCAGAACACTCTTGGAGAAAGGGGGTGAGTAGGGCCGAGGCTGTCCACTTGCAAAGGGCAGGCGGCCAAGCTGCAGATTGAGCTGTCTTAAACACTCCTTGCTGCTTGCCGATGAGGGGGGCGCCCCCGGACCGGCGAGGAAGTGGACCAACATACCAGCCTTCATGATCAAACTGCGGTCGTCCCTCATACATTGCAGGATCCCAAGTCCTCTGGTTGCTCCATCAGACCAGTGCGCTTTCTGCATGCAAACTGACGCTTCAAAGCCTCAAAGGAAAAATCGGCCAGAATCGCCCCGAATTCAGCCTTGTGAAATCTGTCACCCTTGTTCCACGGGAAGCCTCTCGGAAAAGTAGAGCTCCTCAACGGGTACGGACCCAGATCATTCGCCCATACTGCACGCGAGGAGGTGGAACAAGGTGGTGTAACAATGACAGCGAAAAAGATGCCTTGAGCAATCATCCGCTCTGTACAGCTGGTATCGTAAAATCTGACCTTCGATCAGACTGGATGTCCAATTCTGTGATCTCCACTCGAACACCCAAACGTGGTGCAAGTCTCCTCTGGAATCCAGCCACCGAAGTGCGACGTTTCCTCCCCGAAAAGACGTAAAGGACCTTGAGGGTCCTTCACTTCTTGGACCCGTCAGTGTCTGGGGCCCCCGCTTCTTTTCGGTTCTTTGCGTTGCACTCGTAGAGCGGGTGTTTGTCACTATAGCAAATCCCGCGCACATGCCGATACTTGCACTTGCCCGTCTTGCTTTTCTCCCCCGGGGTGTTGTACCGGAAGCAGATCAGGTCTTCATCAGGCGTGTGTGTTGCACAATGCGGACTCCCCTTTCCTTTGCCCTTCTTGTTCTTTCCTTTCTCCTTGCCCTTGCCACCCTTTTCTGTGGTCCTCCACTTTGACTCCGGCTGCTCTCTCCATGGCCCATGGCGGCGTAGGCCTCTTTGCATACAATGCAAGGGGTGTTGTGAAGTTCCGCTCCTTGACTGTAGCATCCTTCCATGCTGTCTTCAATGCAACTGTAAGTGGCTTGCCTTCAGTGTTGGTGATCTTCACTGCTTGCTTCCTGATCGCCTTTTCATATGCAATGATCAGCTTCCAGGGTGGTGCAGCAAAGGTCTGTCCTTCTGCGTCCTTTGCACTGAGGCCATACACATAGTCGCCAAGGAGGTAATCCTTGTACTGCTCGACTGTCTCTTCCCATGCTCCTTGAAGCTCGCGCCTGTTGGAATGTTTCAACGATATCATGACCATTGCATTCTTCCAAACTGTCAACCTCTTGCGAAGTTCTTCGGCGTTTGCCGGTTCCTGCACTTTCGTCGAGCCCTTCTTCATGGCCAATCGGCCCTTGGAGTCCCAAATAGGCACCACAGTCTGCGGCCCGCTTTCTTCTTTCGACACGATCTCCGTGAGCTCCTCAGCGCGGTATTCACCGCTTTCGACCTCTGCCAACTTCTTTTCAATGTATTCTTTGGCAGGGTAGATCTTGTCTTCCAGGTGGCCGTACCTCTTCTCCAATGCCGACCTCATTGCTGCCCATTCCCCGGCCACCACTGGACGCGACCATTGAAGCGAGTCGTAGTCCGCGTCAACCTCTGCTGCTCTCTGGCTTCTCGTCTTGGCATTGCTGAATGCACATACGATGGCAGCCACCTGAACCCTCTCATCCAAGGATCTCTCCGCATCTAATTCCCAATGCTCTTTGAGAACTGCGGTCAAGTCCTCTCGATCCTTCGCGAAGTTCGACAGCTTCTCAAGGGTCGTCACACCATGGTGATAAAACAGCTTTTGGTTGTCAACGCTCACCTCGTGCCTGGAGAACAGGTATTTGAGGTCAGTACCAGCAGTTTCCACCGCCTTAGTGCCCTCCGCGTCCGTGAGCACCGCCCTTGGCATGCTTGCCCCGGGTCTTGAGCCCCAACCTCTCTGGACACACCGGCCAGACATGCAGCATGCGATGCCGCAAGACACTGCTGTGCCTACTGTGCATGCTATGCACCTAACCGCTCACATGCGATGTGAAACACTTCTCAATGCGTGCTGTGAGGTGCGACCCCGCCTCTTCCGCATTTTGCTGCCACCGTGCGCTTGCTGCGCTCCTCCCCCAAGCCTGAGCGGCTCGCTCGACTCGGGGTCCCCAAATCCTACCAAGCTCTCCCTGGGTGCGACCCATGCTGCAAGGTTTACATGTTGTTCCTCCCCCTGGTGCGACCAGGGGTTCTGAGTTTGCTAACTCAAGGACACTCCCCCTTCCCAGCATCCCTTTTAGTCGCTGAGACTCAGCTCGTCGTGTGAGTCACTTGTGGGCTCGCTCAACTGACCTCCTCCACCGCCCCAACACATTTGCATCGGAGGGTGTATTCCTCGGGCTCCGGCAGCTTTTCGTGGACCTCCGATCTCACGAAGAACCTCCTCAATTTGCCATCCAGCAGCCCTTGTCTCCAAGCCTATGGAGGGTTCCCCTACCGGCTCGCCTGTACACGACGACGTATCCGCCTTCCCTCTCCTCTTCGAGGGGGGTGCCAACTTTCCTCTTCTTTGCCTCCCTGGGCTTCTGGCCGTCGCCCTCCACATCACTCTGCGAGCCATCGTAGATCGTAGTATCGTCCTCCGACAGCGGTATGACCGCATGCGGCCTTCCAGGCCTCGACCACGCTATCCGCCTGGTCCTCCGGGGCAGTCCACTTCTCCGTCAGCCACACCTTGAGCTCTTCGAGGATCGAACCTTCATCCAAGTCTTCATAGGCCGTCTCACCCCTCAGGATCCCCACCATCTTCTTCTGCATCTTCTTCACGATGGAGTTGTAGGTCCGAACGTAGATGTCAGAACCCTCCGGACACCACCTCCCGAGGTAATCACGATCGGCCTTCTCTACACCAAGCGCTGCCAATCCGCTCGGCAGGGTTGCTCTCTCACTATGTTCCAACCAGAACCTCTCCCAGCCGGAGGGGATGAGCCTGCCACTGTACCCCTCAAGCAGGGCCAACGTCCTTGCACTGCCTGAGACCGCCTCCGCATACGTGACGTGGGACTCACCGTATCTAGTGCCGTAGAAACAGCCCTCCGGGAAAACGTATACACCCTGTCTCGAGGCATCTGCAACTTGATCAGGTCAAATCCAACCGCCAACCAGTCATCATGCACCACATAGGCATCCTTTGCTATGAACAAAGGAAGCTCTCTCACACGCTTTCCTGCGCCTGATGTCTTGGATTGATGCAGCATTCCAAGCAACTGACCATCATAGAATCGCAGCTCCGAAGTCTTCAGGTGTGCAGCGTCGTCAAACCTCATTGAGGTCCACAGCTTAACAAGCTTGAACCATGCACAAACCCTAACCTCAAAAGGCACGGCCCCATCAATGACCAATGTCTCCATGGGTGCAACGAAGCACCCCAGCCAGCGAGGCGCTCGCCTCACCGGTGGTGCATTCTGTTCCAGCCTTTTCGTCAGTTCCTTCATCACAATCTGCGGGAAGATCTGTGACATCAATTGCTCCTCCTCTGGTGTTCCTGCAGTACGCTCAAACCGTGCAACCGCCGTGCTGACGGCCAGCGGGATCGACGGCCCCATGCCTTCCTCCTCACGTGCGTACATGTAGTCTACTAGCATCACAGTGTTCGGTCTCTGCCCCGGCTTGCCCATGGACTCGGACCATACTCGGAAGCGCTGCCATGAAGCCAAATTGGGAGTACCTCCGGATCGTGGACAACCTGTATTTTCCCAGCCCTCATTGGGTTCATTGCCTTCGCAACTTCTTCCAAAACCACTGCCCCGTAAATCTTGAGCTCGTCCACCAGCTTGCAAAGTACCTTGTCGTTCACTTCGTTCTCAGCTGCAATCCGACCGCCTCTCAACCGGACCGTCCGGCCCAGCGTCCCCCGTTTGGGTATGGCAGGCAACACTAACACATCTGCTTGTGGCTCGAGGGGTTTCTTCTCCTTCTCAATCATGGCCTTGGCATCCACCAAATTCTGCATGGACCACGACGATGAAGTCCCTCTCACACGGTTGTCAAGATCAGCCATCTGCACAGCTTCTCGTACCTGGCCCTTGACAAACGAAACGTGCCAAGGCTTACACTCCAGCCCTAGGCGCTCTGCCAGCTGTCGTGCCAGAGACTCTTCCGACCCATGGCTCACCGCTAGCCGCGCACTTATCAGGCCGACCTCGGTGAGGAGGTTGAGTATCTTTGCACTCACCTCTGGATCGGGGGTGCAAGCGCCCCCCTCCATTCCCACCAAAAACCAAAACAACTTCACGAACCCCTCGAGCCTCCAAGCACATAAACAAAAATCGGTCATGACAAGTCATGAGTGATTTCCAGCGTTACAGGCATTGAGCTGAATACATAGTTGTAGATTCTGATACCATCCGCAACAAACCAGGACAGCTGCGGATTGGTTGAACATCCAAATCCTTTCCAAGGCACTATTGCTTCCTAGGAAGTCATCAGCTTGGCATGTAAACTTCAAGGATTTGTATTCTCGAGGCATCCTTTGCTCAAGGTGATAGTACAGGACTCAAAACAAGCTGTGAACATACATGGTACAAGTAGTTCAGGTGTGACGATTCAGGTGAGGCCATCCCTTGCAAACTCGAAACTCTAAACACCAACAACTGGCTGTGCTTATCCATTACAGGGTATTAACCAAAGCAAAACCAGCTCTTAGTTGGAGCTAAACTGGTATTGTGGTCTTGTGAATCGTCGAAATCACGAGCTTTCCCAATCGCTACTGGTGAAGACACCCTGCACAGCCTGAACCCGACAAACACCATACTTAGTGGGATCTTCTCCATCTCAGCGATTTCCAAATGATCTTCCGAACGCATCTTGAGTTAGTCGGTTAAACTTCACATCCTCCAAGCCAATCTCCAAGCCTAGCCTGCCGTAAAAATGGCTGGAGCTCCGCTGGCAAATTTCTCCCAGCGTTAGCCGAGGGGAGAACAGCCAATCCTGGGATGCACATGTTGTTTTCCATGACGCCGCAGGTTTCGGTTTCGTCCCAACCGCAGAGGTCTGTTGAACATCGTCGATCCTTTAAATGTTTGCACTGTGACTGTTTGGTTCATTTAGTGAGTCGGAGGGGAGTGTTTAATTCTTCGATGCGATGGTTCGATGGTTCAAACATCTGCACACATCCCGATTTTCAGTGGCACCACCGTTGCAGGTGCTGCCGGATTTTTTCAATCTACAATCAAACTCAGTACAGGCTAGCGGCTAGTAACACCAATATGGACCAAAAAGCCTCGGCCACTTGGAATCAAAAAGAATTCCACCAAACTTCCATTGTTTGGGCAAAAGTCTCCCTGAAAGCCAATCGTCCATTACTTCTTTCACCAAGGGGTCACTTTTCAGATGTGCTTAAAAAAATCAGACCTTGGATCTGCAGAATTGAATTGACCAATGAAGGTTGGGGTCGCCCCGAATGTTGAGCCACAACATTTTGATAATCATTGTTTCTGCAATTCCACCCACCTCAGTCACACGACTCAAAACAGCCCACGTTCCAGTCTCGCGCTTTCCCGCCCAGTCGCCCATGTCCCCAGGCCGCATGGCAGAGATCCAGCCAATGGCGAAATCCTCCTGGAAAAAACACACATGCTCTTTGGGGGAATGAAGAACTCTCCATGAGTGAGACACAGGGAAACGTGATGAGATAATATGATATGACAAAACATAAATCTGCGCAGGCAGCGGAAGTTGGGAAATTGTCCATTGTGTGTCAGGTGGTGACGGACTTGGCCTGTTGACTTTGTCCCACGAGAAAAAGGCCGTCTCCGCTGCATCGAAAACGGATGGATGTCTCAGCTTTTGGGATGTAGATTGGGAGAGTTCGAACTTCAGTGTGTTGAGGCAAACAACATTGTCATTCATGGAAATCATGCAAATTCCAGTAGCTGTCTTTTGTGGATCATCAATCAAGGAATGGAAGGTTGACCACTGGAATCAACTGGATAGCATTCTCCTGTGCCTCGTTAGTATACCTGGGACGTATCTCCTGCATGGACCAGTGGAACATATATATATATATATGCATGTCAGCCCACACATAAATAGTCTTTCCCGGTTTCTCACTATGACACTATGTCTTGAGGGACCCACGTTGACATCCACCATGTCAAACTGCGTGGTAGCCGCTGCTGGTCGCCTAGCTTTCCTTCAGAACAGTCTTCCGCCAACATCACAACAGTCTTCCGCCAACGTCACCTGCAGGGCCGCTGAGATGGCACTAAACTCAGCCAAGAGTGGTCTCAATGCTTGGCGCATCTCCGCCTGATGGAGCCGCGACCCGCGGTGCTGACGATGGAGCCGAAGAGCCCCGCGATCTTTTCTTGACCCGAGTGCGACTGGGGTAGCTATATAATGGTAGCTAAACTTGCTAATCATATTGGAGTGCACAGCCCTATCACTATATATCACTATCGTCACCTCTCCTGGGCATCACCCAGCACGACTGCAAACAAACACACAATGACAACGTCAAACACAACTACAACACACACCACTCGACAATGCACAAGGGCAATGACAACAAGATAACAAATGATAACAAACAGTTCAAACAATGACACACACACACACACACATAATGGCAACCCCACCCATAGCATTCCACAAGCACAGCCCACGTGCACAAACAGATTCTTTACACCAACGCATACACGTTCATATGGGAGAAACCTGGTCTGGTGGGGATAGCTTGCAGTAAAACGATCTATCCTTCTCCTGGTCAGGAGTTCGGCACGAAGCGTTCGAAGACTTATCAGGTCAAAGACAGGTGGAAAGTGAACACCAATGTGGAGGCCTCCTAGCAGTGTCCTTGTTCCTAGTAGTAGGGCCAGGCCCCTAGTAGCGTCCTTGCTCCTTGTAGCGATGCCAGGAGCCCCTAGTAGCTGCCTATGTAAAAGTGTTGTCTTGCCGCCTTCTCTAAAACTTCCAGCCTTACTAGGACGCTACTAGGGGCTCCTGGCCCTACTACTAGGAACAAGAAGCTACTAGTAACAAGAATTAGTATTAGAGTTTTAAAGTTCAATTAGGATTTCATTAGAATTTAATCATTGACATTGTCTTTGGAGGATTTTGGAGGAGTAGCCTGAACAATGCTGGCCCCTTGACATTGACACCCGAAGGACAAGTGTAAAGAATCCCGCACATGCAATGATATCTACAACAAGTAATAGTAATATACATTATATATGTGTATATATAGTTTATAGTACAATATAATACATATCATAACATAACAATATATAATATATATATTTATCAATATATAACACATCATGTGGTGAGGCAGCTACTGCGGCCTAGATTGGTTCACTCAGTGGCTCGGCACGGTCCCTGTCGTCCAAACCCGTGTCACGTCCCACCTCGAAGAGCTGCGCGGCGGAGCCGCCAGCCGTGAGCTCCTCCAACTGCAGCAGTGCCTGGGGTGAGGACGACTGGTGATCAAATAACACCAGTGGTCTACTCATAAACATGCAATAACTTGTTGAGAGGAAAAGAGCAATTATCTAATTATAGATCTAATGAACAATCTGGCTGAATATATAGCTAGTCAATTAAGGGATGAACTGACTGCCTGACACTACTATATACTCTATTATGGTGCTTTTGACTTGTGTGTGTTTGATTGATTGAATGCTCATAAAACAAAGTTTCTGTGTCTGTGCAAGCCATTTTTTCACGCTCTCTTTCGAGCACTTGGATGCACAAAGTACAGCACAATCACAATTTAGTAGGAGCTCAAACATCTGACCTCCACATCCTGCATCTGGAGAAACAAACAAACTCTGCTCTGATGGTGCAATGGCCTCAGTAGCATTCTTCTCGCCCATGAAGAGACCAAGAATAGTCACATTGGACACAAAGGCCTGGAGTCCGGGCAGAAGGCGTCTTTTCTGCTTGGAATTTCTGAAAATGGCATTGTCCCACCGTCATAATGTATCCATAGCCCATCGCTCGCAAACCACATCTTCGGTGAACTACGTCGCTGGACCACGACCCCCCGGCGACTCACCACGCGCAATGGGCACCGCCGCGGCGCAAAAGCGCCATGGGCACCTCTAACAATCGGCGACCAGTGATGTTGGAGCCGGGAATCAAAACAGCAACCTGCAGTGGATGCTGATGAGACTGAAGTCGATGTGGATATGGAACAACAAAAACAAATGAAACAACACAACGGCCCTTCCGGGGCCCTTCCTACAAAAGTCCAAGTGAGTCTTCCAATAGGTCGTCCTCAGGCCAATTGAATTTCCTGACCCGTGCGGGTTGGGTACATGACATGCACTGAACATGCACCGAACATGCTCTGCAAGAGTATGGCTCAGTCAAGCGCATCCAAAAAGTACGAGCCACTTTAGGGTCTTTTGGGCCACATCTTACATATATACTTTGGGCCACATTAGTAACTACCTCTCCCCTTTTGCCCATATCCATGGTCCGTTGATATGTTTGATCCTTGGGATCTTGACTGATAGGCAAATCCTGGTCTTTTTTCGTTGAATCTTTCGCCTCAGCGACTAGGTTGCCGGTCACATGAAAGAATGGGGTGTCCAACCACACCCAACCCTGCAGCTCGTTCGGTAAAATGGGATCACCAACAATGAGTAAACTTCACACGGTGTGCGAAACACTAAGAGCAAGGTTTAAAACAGTCTAAAACCAATACCAAACACAAACACACATAGACCAACTTTACATATGTAACTTTTCGCGTGATCATGTTCAGAATGCACCAATCTGTTCAATTATGATTCCTCCATCCACATCAATATCTCTATGACAATTTGATATGGTATTTCAGGCCAGTTATGACATTTACAATGATCTAGGTGAAGCTTGATCTTCGATATCTTCAATGCCTTAGACGTTGGATGCTCTACACCGAGGGTACCCTCGCTAGAGAATGACCTGTTGTAGACGAAACATGACGAAACCCTCCTCAGTTCATCGACTGGAAAACAGCACCAGGGATGGAATCATGGGATCATTGAAGGATCAAACTGAGAATGATAGATTCCTTGAAACGATCCCCAACATCTTCTCTACGATTTCCGCCTGATCGATGGGATTTTCCCGCTGGTCCTAGCTTTCCTCGATGGGCCCAACAGCCAGTATCGGATCACGTCCACGGACGCACCTGCTCCACGTCTGCGCGGCAGGCGGCAGCCACGGCGTGGCGTAAGCCTGAGGAAAGTCACAGAGCTGGCAATCCCTTTCCCCTAG